ACTTTATTACACAATACACGATAACAAGTTTACCATCACTTTTACATAATCAACTAACAATGTTGTAAAGATGAAGGAAATGTCAAACAAACACTTTTACGTATCTTATTAGTTCAATAATGAGACTGTTAACATGCCTAAGAACTGAATCTGTAGAAATGTGAAACAAGACAGCACTGTTCTGAAATGGGTTTTTTCCCATTTTTAACAATTTTTTTACACAAAACAAAATTAACAGTTTACTGCCATTTTTATATGATCAACTAAGAAAATTGATGAGATGGGAAAAATATCAATAGAATAGTGTAAAATGTCCAATTTCTTCCATTCTGAGATTCTGAACATAATGAATTATTGAATATGACAAACTGCAATGATATGAGTTTATTTCCATTTTTGACACTTTATTACACAATACACGATAACAAGTTTACCATCATTTTACATAATCAACTAACAATGTTGTAAAGATGCAGGAACTGTCAAACAAACACTTTTATGTATCTTATTAGTTAAATAATAAGACTGTTAACATGCCTAAGAACTGAATCTGAGGAAATGTGAAAAAACAGCATAACTTCTAAAATAATGGCCTGATTATGCTGATTTTCAAACTCAACCTGCGTTTTAGTAAGATTGACCACTCCTGTGAGTTTAATGACAATTGGCCTAACGGTTTTCCTTAAAATGTGTTTACAGCGTTGCATATATGCTGAAAAGTGAAAAAACAGTATAACTTCTACTATAATTTGGCCCGATCATGCTGATTTTTGAACTTGACCGGCGTTTTATGAATATTCATCAGCTCTGTAAATATAAAAGCAAAAAATAAAACTGTGTTCCACTTATCGTGTTTACAAGGAAAGTGCACAGCATCGGCATCGGCATCGGCATCGGCATCACCATCGGCGACGACGGCGACGACAGACGCAGGTGATGGCAATATGTACAGACAAATCTGTGTCTGTACATAAAAACAATGGTTGGAAATCCCGGCTACCTTTTGGCATCTTGCATATGTACCCAGCGGAATATGCGCAATAATATACTTTCCACTTTCCTGTCTCGGGACTCATTTGTACGCACTCTTTACGGGCCTCCGTAGACGGCTCTCCGTCAAGCCAGTTCGCGTAATTGAACGGTGTTTTGTCGTGCCAGACGAAAGATCCTGGAATTAAAAAAAAAATGCAGAAAATCATCCTGTTAACTTGTTCATACACTTTGTATATTTTCCCGTTTTTATGTTTATGCAATTAAAATAATTTTATGTTGGTAAAATAGAGCTAATACAATAGAGCTCATAGAATAAAAGAGAAAAGGATACATGTATCAGTGATCTTGCAACTGGCTGTCCAGAGACCAACAGACCAATCGACTGACCATCTATCTGGTTCGAACGAGTGAGCAAACGAATGAACTTACGTTAGTTTATTTGCCGTCAGGCCAGCTTTTCGTCCAACCGTACGTTAAAAAACTCAAAAGACAACCGAACTAAACAGCAAGGCAGCGGGTCGGCCGATGGAACCGCCAATTATCGACCGACCCTCTTGTCCTCTGACCGTCGAATAAATGTTCTAGAGATACTGAACAGACTAACAAACGAGCAATCAACTGAGGCTTTATCCGTCTGTCGTTTCCAGCAAAGATGCCTGCAGGCGAACAATTCTAAAGTCGAACTAAATGTAAATGTTCAACCAACCAGCCGATCAAACCAAGAAAAATTGGCTCAGAGACAAACAAAGTAGATTGACCATACCATCAGGCTTTCTCCACAGCCCAAGCCATAAGTCACGGCTATTAGCTCGTTCTTGTGTGATCATTTTCATAAGGAAATCCATCTCAGCCTGGCTTTCAACTGAGGCCAGCGAGGCACCATGTTTGTAGCAGTCGAAATTCGCTGTGGCCCATCCTCCGAACTTTTTCCCGTCAATCAAGTAGCAGTAGGCACCAAATCCAAACCAGTGCTTGTCGTCAAAACACGTGCCAGGGGGATTGACTACCGTTGAAGGGGGCGTGGCTGAAATGACAAGTGCACTGTGTGAAATGTATCTGTCAATATTTTACCATACATGGAATATAGTAAGTATGATCTTTTTACAGAATATTACGGAGGGTAGCCGTTTATTGTCATCTTGGTCTGATGGCAAGCGCAGATTTCAGAATAATTGTGATAACTGCCACGTTGGCGGTGAACTTGAATTTATTATATTTGTATGTGTTGTTTGCAACGTTCTTATTGAATCTCATATGAAGAGTTGTTTTCCCTTTAATTCTCAGTATATAATGTCACTTTTCAGTGGTTAACTTTATTGCATCAGTTTCTACAGACAGTCCTAGGTGAATAAAACGATTCTTTAAGTATGTAAATCGGTAATCGTTAGAGAGACGACTATGACGCATTATGTGAGGCGGCACACATGTAATATTGTGCTCAGTTTCACTGTATCATTACATTAATATTGTCCCATTTACAGCTACCTACCCGTGGTTCTCTTGCACACCGCTTTTATTTCCGCACTACAGTCTGTATCGTTCCAGCGACCATTTGGCATAAGGGCAACACACCTTTCCTTGTCACCGCGCGTGGGCTCAGAACTTTCCCAGTTGATGTAATCTACGGGCCACCCGTCTAGCCAGTAATACATTGCCTAAAGGTAAACGTTTCGAATTGCTGTAACATATTAATCGACAGTTCCATAACTTCTTATTACTAACCAACTACAAGCAGGGAATCCAGCAAATACATAGGGTTAAATCGGGTCAAATCGTTTCCTAGGGACAAATCGTTTCCTATGGAAAGCCCTAGAGTTTCGAAATTCAAAGCATCTTTAAAGATTTTTTATAGCTTGGTTATTATACAACAGAACCCTTTGGAAAATATATTTACCCCCTTTCTAGTTAATCCTAACCAAATGGGCACCGGCCGTTCTTTCTGTGTTAGCAACACAACAAAGGCTTGTTCGAACCCATCAGTGACCGATACCAAAGTGTCTTGTCTTCTCTCGCATGTGGTCTTGGCCTGTTCCCACGTCATATGTGACGTCACCTGGTAGCAGGCGTCACCAAACGAGCTGTAGCCTAGCGGGCAGTGTGAAGGTAACAGAGAGGGCAGTGGCGTTGGGTAAACCGTATCTAGAATACAATGACGTAAAGTATGTCTTTGGGCATGTTTCCAAACATAACTCAAATTTGGAGTTAAGTTTTCGTCTGCTTTAATTTTAGTTATATAAGTGGCCGCCCAGTCAATAATAGAAATTACTGACTTTTATAGGTTTTAATTGTATCAATCATAATGATCAAGATCGAATATAGGTCAAGTTTATACCAATCCACGCCTGACAGACGTATCCCAGACGTAGGTTGCAGTCCCGCACTCGCCACCGTCCCGCAGACAGACTAGCAGACGACACACTGATACAGTCATCCTAGAACAGATATAAAGTGTACATGATTTAATTTATCGAAAAGTACTTAAATGATATAAAGGGACCCGTTTTACCAACAATGCGACGCTGGAATAAGACATTCACAGTGGTAAACAAGGAAATATCTTCCAAATATTTTATTTAAAAGCCAAGCAGGAAAGCCGCATTTAGTCCAGTCTTACCCAGCCTCTGGGTTCCCCATTATCCCAGTACACAAACTCAACGTTAAAGTTATCGATCCACTTATATTTCTGATAGGAGTATTTTTTCAGGCCAATCCAGAAATCTACTGGGAACTTGTCCTTCAAAAGCGTAGCTAGAAAGGCTGAAATGATGGAATGGAATCTGTGAGCACTGGCATACAGTCCTTATAAAAAACTAATTGTAGTTTGCAAAGTGCATTATGAAAAGTATCACAAGAAGGCTTAAAATTTATGACATACAAAATAACATTTAGAAAATTGCTACTTAAAGTGAAATAATACCCGAATCATCATGAATGATGTGACAGTGCGTCAAGGGCTTTTTATATCTTATTCTTAAAACTGGCCGGAATTAACGAGCAGGATGGCATAACATATTGTTAAGATGAACAGAATGTTGTCAAAGTGCTAACCCGCTTCCATGGCGTTTGTCACACTTGCCAAAGTGGCGTTGCTCGGGCATGCGGACAGCGCATTTGACCAATTCTTTAGCGTATTCGAATCTTCTATGGTCCCCTGTAGAAAGTAGCACTTGTTCCCTGAAATACAGCACATGAATATTTAGAAGATGACAGTTATCTGTTTCAACTGTTTTCTGAATAAAATATATCATGGTGCTATCTCACACTAATTTAAAATTGTGTCGTTACCATTATTATCCGTTCCATGTCTAACTGAACGACTAGCTGACAAACCAAATACCTGCCAGACTGGCTTACGTAACTGAGCCAAACATAAAATCCATTTTCATGCTTTTAAAGAGAAAAACTTACAATAGTGAGCCCTCCGCTCAGCAAACTTAGGAGTTGACTATCAATATAAGTGACATGCACTTAAAGATACACCTGTATAAGATACAACCCTCTACCAGGGCCAAAGACTGAGTTTACTAGATATTCACAGATATATTCACTTGTAAATTCATGGTACTTTTCTGTCTCGCGTTAGAGGTAGGTGCACATAGTTAATCTGCGGCCCTGGTAGATACTATTCAATGAGTTTTAATCATTACCAATGGGCCCCTCAAACCCTGGGGGACAGGTTCCCGTCCTGGGGGTTGTGGGGGTCGGGGTAGCTGTCGTGCTGCTGTCCTTGTGCCTCTTGCAGATGAATTTGTGTCTTAGTCCACAATTTTCATCTACCCAATGTCCTGAAATGGAAAAATGCCCTCGTGGTACATTCGTACGTCTATATATCTATGGCAAGGAGTGGGCAATTACAGACACTGGATTATGTCATAAAACGGCGAGCATACGGAACTTTTAGACATACAAAACACTAAATGAAAGATAATTTGTCAGTCAATGAGGAACAAAACGGGTGCAGCTAGTTTAGATTATAAATAATTAAACTCACAATTAGCAATAACTGTGAGTGTACTTGTACCTGTGAGTGCATAGTATGATACACATTTTTCACCACCTTCAAAGTCATTAGGCTCACCCACATCCCAAGAAATAAAGTTTGTAGGGGTCCCGTCCGACCACCTGATTACAGAAGGGCAATAAATTAAGTTGGATACAAAACATGGACAATAAGGATATAAGTCATTATCACGCTCTATATAACTCAAAAACGAAAACGTAAACGAAAAAGCCGTTAGAAGCAAGTTACTCAATTGTTACATGCCAAAATATTCAACAAAATGTCAAATGTTACGCCTTCATCCATTTAAAAGATTTTCAAACATATAATATTAAGTGGAAGATCAATTATTAAGCGTCAAAATATGCTAAAATTAGTAACTAGACAAGAAAGTGCTATATTACATCGTGAAAGGGAAAGTGTCGCACAGATATTTAACTGTGAAATTGGCAGTGAGAAGGCAGGACTGGGCTGCATATACATCTTACTTGTAGCTTTCCAAATCTAGCTCATTCAGTCCTATCCAGTAGAGTTTTTCGCTTGGGTACCACTTTGATGTCTAAAATGAGGATCATTAAGAGCAGTCTTTACCAAGTAAAAAAGTGTTTTTCCTAAACATACTTCATTTTAAAAATATTCTGCTTGCAAGTCCTTTTCACTCCCTGTCATGTGGAGTGGTATAAACTACTAGGAAGACTGAATTAACCAGTTACAGTAGACCTAAGGCCTAGTACAAGTTGAATGATATAAGTAACGTGGCATCGTGTAATCATATTCGCTTATTCCCATTAAGAGGATAAAGGGAATTATTAATAGGCTATTATAAACATTTTATATTATACATGTATTGTGGGTTTACCTCTCCCATTAAAAAGTTATTTTCGTCCAGATCGTGAACGCTGGCAAGGTTTCCTCCGTTCTGCATACAATATTTCCTGGCATCATGCCATGTTTTGTCCCAGACACCATAACCCGAGCTCAGGAAATAACAGTGGTCTTTGTGAGCTCGCCATTTTTCGTCTGAACCACACTGTGGTGCTTTGAAGGAAAGGTAAGCGTTATGCAGAAGTTTAGGAGCATGTTCAATTTCAACTGCCCCAAAGTAAATATAGAGTCATTTAATAGCTAGCATCGTTATAGTAATATCAATTTTCAATCGTAGCTTGACCAGTAACTTATTTAATAACGTACATCAAAATTTCAATTAGTGAATATGAAACTGAAGTCATACTATCATAATAGTACTCACAGTACACTAGCACACATTTACCTGGCGTTGGTCTTATCGTTGATTTCGTGTTGTATATCGGATCTCCTGCAGAAGTTTAACAGATAACTTTAACTTTATAATTTAATATAACGTAAAACTAGTTCAGATCGAGGATATGTAGATATGATTAAAAGCAATTAATTGGATCTTATATATCTTATATACATTTTTATGCAAATTATGAACGACGATGGACAAAGGTGTTCAAACATATGTACATGAAGGAGGCTTTCTAGTGTCGTTACGCCATTTTGTTGCTAAACAATATCTTTTGACAAGTCACACCTTTTCGAAACTGGCAAATAATACTTCTCCTTGCGTAGCAGTTCGAATCGTACCACCTGCCGCTTGACCTGTCCAGTTCTACGCAACTCTCTTGTCCATTGTGGTCATTGGGTTCTCCAGCAGCCCAATACACAAAGTCCACTGCTGTCCTGTCCACCCAGGTATAGCCACTGTCCTTACTTGGTCTGGAGAGGCCAATCCAATACGGATCCCGCCTATCATTGTACACGAAGAAGGGGCAAGTAAATATGAGGTGTCTTTATTGTATTATATCAATATAATTGCTTGTAAATTAAACAGGTGTCATGACTTAGAGAAGCCGTTTTTTACGCGGTTTTAATTTATGTCCCATTGTTTGGTTAATTGAAGCGAATTAGTTAGACAACTCTGGAACTCTTCCCGCTGCTGCTGAATCCCCTTTATATTGCGAAACTGGAAAACCTGACACAGTCAATCATACACAAACGTGTGACCATTTGGCAAATGTCATGAGCAAAGAGGTAAATTAAACCTATATTTTAGTAATCGTTGAAAAAACACCCATAGCATTAACGACAATCTACGCTTCGAAGCTTTAACAGCGATACCTATCAAACAAAATGCATTTAATATTATTGACATAAGAAAGTTTTGAATGACTAGTTGGACATGTTAGGCAACAGCATTATGCTATTATGATAGCACGAGACTTAATACACCGGCTGTTATTTTTGTGGATAAAGTATAAAATATGCAGCAAAATAAATAAACATTTCTACGCTCTTCAATTGGATAATCTTATCTAAGCTAATGGAATTAATGCCCAAGCAAACACACGCACAGAAAAACAAATAATTTCAAGAAAGGTGTGAGAAACACGGCCACGATTTGGTCAATTAGAGGACGTAGGGCTTACCGACCGGCTTGGGTCCTGATTGCCCCTTTCAACTGTGCCTCACTGTGGAAGCTTGCCAGCTCTCCTCCCAGCATCTTGCAGTGGGCAATTGCCTCGAACCACGTGCGCTTTCTGAAGCTATGAAGATACTCCATCTAGAATGAAAACAAAAAAGGCATCTGAGACACTACCCATCTTCCCGTTTTCTGTCCTTCAAAACAGAATCTTTATAATGTGAGTAAGGATCTGCAAATATTGTAGCAACAACCATGTGTTAGAGTTGTGCATGCAACCAAGTAAGTTAAGATGACACTTTACTATCAACCTTAAAGCGAAAGGCGTCGTACAATGTTTCTCTATCGTCAGTCAGTTTGATTCACGGCACAACCGCCAAAATTCAAACAAACATATTTAACTTAACTAAACAGATGATGATGATATTTGGCAATTGGCAATTACCTTGTAACAGAAATCACCATACTCCGAGAAGGAATATTGGTTTGGACACTTGGCTGGAGGCGGCGTAGTAGGCGCCGGCGTCGTAGTGGCATAGTCGCCTCTGGTATACTCGCAGATAAAAGGAATGGTCTTGGAGCATGCTCGGTCAGACCATTTCCCCGTGTTGCGAGGACTTTTGGTAATTACCACGCACCTGTCTATGGCACTGCCTGGTGATAGGACATGGGTGACACAATGTCATTAACAACCCACGTAGATTAATACGAAGGTGAGGTACATTGAATGAACTTATGAGTATACTATAAATATAGAGTAAAACTACATATAAACTTGCAAGCGTGTGTGTAGACATGTACATTGATGTGCCAGTGTCACCATATATATATATATATACTAGTACACACAGAGATGAACGAAATACCTGTATGCTTCTTGTCCCAATTTGTGAATAGCACACGGGTATCCGAATCCCACACGTAGATCCCATCATTTATATTGCTTAGACCTATCCAGTATTCACTATATGTAATCATACTGCTTAGCTTGGCAGAAACGTAAGCCTGCTCCACTCTAGGAGAAAACGTTAATTATGAATTCTAATGCATCATTTTTCATTACCAACGTTAAAAACCAATTGCCAAATGGTGACAAACAAGCATGAAAACAACTGATAAATAATCCCCGAACGGCATTTGAAATGCTATTGATCCGTCTGGTAAGATAACAAGTCAATATTGGCCTTAACCGTAAACAATATTTAGAGGGATATTACATAATACGAGCTCTACTGTTCGTTCTCTGAACACTTTTAACTGTTAGCTCTTGGACTGCATGGAAAGTAAAATCAAGGACGCAGTCAAGAATATTTGTATCATGGAAGCTAGAGATACTAGTAGACAAACCGCATCAAATATCAGTACCACCGCCTACTCACTGGTCGTTGATCGTCAGGAGTGTTCCACCGGTGCTGTTGCAGGTGTGCCGGGCATCAGACCAACTCGCACCTTTCTCAGAGACAATATAGCAAGAGCCTCTGTGAGCTCCAGTAAGGTTCTGGCGGTGAAAAGAAGTGAAAAACGGTGTACGCTTCAACATAACCCTCTTTACTCATGCGTAAGTGCTATACACTGGAGTGTGGCGGTGCCTTAACAATTCTAAAAACAATGGTTTGACTCTAAATGAGATCGTAAAGCCTGCTCCCACGCGGGCGCCGCATGAATAGGAACATGCTGGCAGTACACGGGTACACGCACATCGCGTGGCAAATATAACCTAGCCTTAAATTTTGGATATTTGCTTAACTTCATCTGTGCGTGCAGATTTACAAAGCTCCAGATTTACAAAGTACACAATGCAAATATGCGCCTGTAGCTGCTATAATAGTGATTAGTTAAATGGCAAATTATGACTATCAATTCAAGAGTTTTTTTAAAATGTACGTCACTGCGTGTAAGCATATTGCTCGGTTGAATACGACGTCGTTAGGCAAAGGCTGAGAGGAATCAAGGCAAATCACTCCCACCAGTTCCCACTCCCACCAGTTCCCAAAATGCCGAACCAGTTCCCAAAATGCTGTTAGACCAAACCAGTTAAATATATCGGCGTTAATTCCGGACGAGGCTACCACGCTGGCATACGTACTTCCAGTGTACAGCTGCTGACTTCTGTATTTTAATACAGAAAAATTAAAACATAAAAAAATTGAAATTAAAAACAAATTAATAATTTACCTCATCATATTCTGATTTGTGTACTCCCAGGGCACCTGTCTTGTGTATACGGAGATACAACTCAGAGCACCCCCTTTGCCAAACAGGAGGCACTTTGTCCGTTGACGTAATTATAGTAGCCGGCTTCTTACAGATATAAGGCAGTAATTGAGCACAGTCAGCATCTTGCCATTTCCCTGTCTAGAAACAAAAGAAGATCAGTGATACATATATTTTCGTAAGCACATGTACCATAATTAATTGTGTAGTCAAATAAAGGACGTTACAAAGTGCATTCACGGCAAAATATCGATCACCGTGATAAAGGTGACGTGTACTTCATACTCAACAAATTTAAGAAATAAAATAAAATGTTAAAATAAGTAAATGAAAGAGCAATAAAATAAATAAATAAATAAACAGACAAAAAATAAAGGGAACCTGCTTATCCTATCAAATATTTGAGATAAATGCTCATACAGAATCAATAAGCACCGTGTGTTGAAGCCCTATGAGTCATTTGGTTTAAAGTCAACAAAATGGTGCCGATGTGTTGATAGTCACTTACGTTAGTCCCTGTTGTATACAGACTGACGCACAGTTCCTTCCCTAGATGGTTGTTCGGTTCACGTGACTGCCAGCATGTGAAGGTCACGGCACTGTCGTCTGTCCACTCAAATTGGTTGACTATCCGGCGGTCGTTCAGGCCTGTCCAGACCTCCACAGGGTTGACTGCATGATACAAATAAAGAAAGAAAGAAAGAAAGAAAGAAAGCAAATGAATAAGGAAAAACTGCTTTATCAACTATTTGGATTTTTTTCTCCAACTGAACGCAAAACTGTGCCCATATTATTTTATATCGAATCAGGTATTTTTGAAAGACTGTTTAGTATATAAAAGGCGTATAATTCTTCATCATACACCTCTGTGTTACTTATTACAGTCCATATATTACATACCATGTGACCCACCAGCAAAGCCAGATACAAAATTGTTCTCATCCTCATTCAAAATTGATACCAGATCCCCGCCCTGTCGTCTGCAAGTGTCCTTTGCTGAAGTCCACGTTCTCTGATCATCAAATATTTTATAACAATGCCGACCAAAGCGGGCCCAATCTCCACTACATGATGGGTAACCTCATGATGTAAAGAGAATATGACATTTTCCATATATATAAATGACTGTATTTTAATGGTTCTTATCCATTTACAGTATATCTTTTCATTATTATAACCCTATTTGTTGGAATTGATGGCGTGGCTGGTTTGATGGGTTAAAGTTTCTCACGTTACGTTTTAGATAACTACGTTTGATATATTTGCTTCAACACGCTGCCAAGCATAGTTTGTTAGGCAGTGTCAAGTACATTCAAATTCACGTGAGGAAAAAAGTAGGTTATCCATCTTTTGGCGTTGCCTTTTATTCTGTATAACTTCTTATTATGATTTACATACGTTTCTTGCGTGTTACCTGGAGTCGTTGGGGTTGTTGTTGTATTCACGGGAATAGGCGTAGCTTTGGAAACGTTCCCTAAAACAGGTGGTGATGAAATTGGAAAGATTTCAAGAAATGCAATAACAAAGATATGATAAAGTATACAGTAATTATTAGATTCTGTGGTAGCTATAGTTAAAATGTTCGGTTAAAGAAGGACGTGCATCGTATTCAAAATGGACATTTTATTCAATTTTTGACAAAAAAAAAAAAAAAAAAAAAAAAAAAGGTTAAAACCTGCAAGCATGATTAGGAGATAAAGTTGACCACCTTGATCAATCTACCGAACTCACAAGCAGTCACAGCATTCAGGGAAGACGAGACCATAAAATGTGAAATATAAATTTTCTTATCACGAACCTTTTTTCTTGCACACGTATCCACGCCTGTTCTGACATTCTTCCTTCAACCAAGATCCACTTAACGCATCCATTTCCATACACCTTGCATTTGATCGAGATTCTATCATATCTGAGAAGATAAACTAAGATTGTTATTTTGGCGATTAATTGAGCAATATCTCTTATCAATTAGTTATTCTTTTTTAAATGGTCCTCACGTCATTGTAGATAATGTTACACTATGATTGTTGGAATTAGACAAACGATTCAAAGAATTATATCGTATATGTTTCGATAACCTTCTATTTTTGACATTAAGAAAAATTAACTTCAAATATAATTCATTTTACGAGATCATATTCCCACATAGTTTTGACTAGATAATTAACGCGTTTGCTACAGCGCAATAGGAATTGTCCTGGCACGAGAGAGAGGGAGATAGAGAGAGAGAGGAGAGAGGGGAGAGAGGGGAGAGAGAGAGAGGGGGTGGCAGACACTGGGACAGATATATGTACCCACGGACTGACGATCGGACGGGTGGTAAGATAAATAGATAGATAGATAGATAGATAGATACAGTTTATATTCAATTCTGACCTGCACCCCAGTTGAGAAAGGCAAATGGATTTCCGTCACTCCAAATCCAACCGTCCTCCTCTCCCAGTGCGCTGGCACCAAGCCAGAAATACCTCATGTCTGGGATGGTGTGTGCACGGCCTAGGACGAAGTCTTACATTCATGTACTTGATCTTTATTACAGAGTGATTGTCCAATATGTATTAGTTTTTTAATGTATTAGAACAAAGAACGATAAATGAGTCACAGACAATGCAGAAAATCAACAACTATTTATCTTAATGTGTCCTAATAAACTGCTGGATCTGCTCATGGTGCATTTATTGTTTTACAGCTTGTTAGATAACTGTACAAATTGAATTAAAACTATGAAAATACGTCCGTCGTTGAATCTTTTATAATTATTTTTTATCAAACACACTTATGTACATTTTAAGATAAAAATAACGACTTTTTGATACAATATACTACATATTCAAAGACTAGATACACTTATTGCCCGTCAAATCTACGTACCAGCTATATATTGTTGCTCCTCCAGGCTGGGGACACTGGCCAGTTCTCCACCATTATGTTGACACTGTAGCAGGGCCTCGGACCAAGACAACGTGTTTGTGTTAAATTGGTAACAAAAGTCACTGAGGGGATCGTCTTCCCAAAATAAGCCGCACTTGACAGAGGCTAAAGCTGGAATTATTTTGTTATTCGGGAAAAAAAGAGCATGGCTATTAGTCACAGACAAAGGGATATTTGTCATTTGAAAATTATCCTGCGTGGTATGATGCAAATAGTTGGATTCAGATTAAAATTTGGTGTGGACAGAAATTCCTACGCTTGTACAAATTATTTTTCATGTAAATAGTATATTCGATTCAGAAAAACGCTGAATGTTATAAGAATTAAGATCCTTTTAAAAAACTAGAAAACCTTAATAAAAGATTCAAATATGTCTTACGAATAAGAGATGTGCCTCCTGGAGTTGTTGCAGGCCCTGAGAAAAACATCAAAACACGTTTTTTGAGAATTTTCTGAAACAGTATTTCTTTTTTAAACATTTCCATTAATTGAGAGCATTTTAACCAGTTAGAAATAATGTTGACTAAAATTTGATATTACCTTGAAAAGCTATAACGTGCCTAATGTGATGTAACTAAAATTATGAAGATAAGTATAAAACCCTCACAGAAAAAAAATTGCAGAGTGTAACTACGACACCTCACCTGTCATCTTCTCACATATGTATGCCCTCTTTTGACTGCACTCCACGTTGGACCACAAACCCTTGGCGTCACCGGTCAGTACAACGGCGCAGTGCTTGCCAAATGTTTCCCCGGAATGCTCTGGTTTTCCTGGGGCCCAGTTAGTGTACATTGCCTGAAACATACGGAACAGGCTTTAACTGTTTGTGGTAGTTGTGGTGTTAAATAAACCTGGGGAAATGTTAAGGGATTCATTCGGTTTGTTGTCGTTACACAGGTTTAATGGGCACCACCTTATGTTACACTTACGTTAAGTGTGATCTGAAATAAATGCAGGTAATTGAGGCAAATTTAGTACATACATGGCGAACGTAGTACATACACAGGCTGTATAGTTATATTTACAAACATTTGGCGAAAAATGAAAAAACAATGATGTGCAAATTATAGGGCTTTACCTAAAACGTTTCTTAACATATAAAAAATCAACAAAAGCGAACAGAAGTAGATCGCATTTGCACATTAAATGTAGGATAACAATTACATATAATATTTCAAAGTCTCGTGTACTCAAAATGGATTAAATTTTTACTAGTTGTACAATATCAATATACTAGATGAAAAATACAATTAAAAAATTGAAAGTTAGAAAAGGGGCACTTTGATGAGAAAATTCTGAGTAATCAGTTTTTAGTGACGTAAATTTCCAACATCAGCTTTTGACTGCCGTGTTGTACTGATAACTCATGGCCTGTGTTTTTTAAATCAACATTGCACAAATACCATGTGTGAGATAATACACTGTCACCCGATTGATATATGCCATAACACTTCGAGCGTCAGCGAGAGGTGTTCATGGCATATATCGCGAGAGGGTGACAGTGTATTATTTGACATACCTACCGAGAACAAACATAGTCATTTCATCCTAAAACACCCCTAAAATCGAATAAAGTGACCCTAAATCACGCTCTAGAGATGTTATACGGAATAAACTCGTCCACGTGCGCTGGTCACCTCCCGCCAAATTCTTATGTAATGTTTGACCAATTTGGTCAATTTTTGCTAAATACTTGTCGTGGACGTTCAACTGGCTTGAAAAGTATTTAATCAACCGTCGACACTGACCATGCGCGTCTCAGCTGAGCCACACCTAGCTGGGACTGCTGAGGAAAAAAGGTCCCAAGGCAAAACTTCTACCTTTTAGTGACATTTCTGATAAACAAGGAGCGTCGGACCGGAATATAATTTTTCACAAGTGCAAAGGAGAAAGAGATTTACTTTTTGGTGATATTTCTGACAACGAGGCAGTTTCAGAATATGGTCAAAATCAGACGGATGTTTGTTACAAGTTCACGGGAATAATAATTCTAGTTTTTATTGTTATTTCTGACGACGAGGCGGTTACGGAATATAGTCAAAATCAAACAGATGTTTATTTCAAGTCCACAGGAGTAACAATTCTACGTTTTGGTGACATTTCTTACTACGAGGCGGTTCGGAACATACATGTGCTGGTTTTCAGAGCATTTATGTGCTACATGTAATTACAAGTTCAAAGGGGAATATATTTGATTTTTACCGATATATCTGATAAAGAAGAAGAATGAACAGCTTAAAAACAAAAGGTAAATAGCACAACCCTCGTTAAAAAGTTATAGATTTACAAATAATTTGTACATGTATGCACGTGTGGCTTAAATGTAAACGAATTTCTGTTTTCAAACCATACCCATATGATATGACTTAGTGTAATAAAATTATAAATAATAATTGTTAAACGTTGAAAATTTATGCTAATTTTTTAAGAGTGTGAGAGATTTTAAATTTGTCTAATGGTAGGTGTATAACGCAAGCAACGTCACTATTCTCTTGATGCCAAGATGGTCACATGATCACTCTGTCTTTGGATTTCAGCATTTAAGAGACCTCGACTGATTTAACCAATATGTAGTCGTGAAATTCTAGACTACATCGAGGTTAAATCAGAGTTTTCCGAGAGACGCTACGCAGAAATGTCGAGTGAAGCGAGATATTTTTGGGTAGCGGCTCGAGGTTGCCCTCGATCTTCACTGAAGCTTGGCTAAAGGGACAGGCTTCAGTGATCATCATATCGCCACGGTCATATAACATCCCTAGGTAGGTATATCACAATCCGCTAGGGGCGCTACAGTCGTAACGATCCAGGGGCAGTGAGCACTCGGCTCACCGTCGATTGATTCCTGCGCCATCATTTATAATCTGCAGAAGCGACTAAAGAATAATTTACTAGTTTTGATGATTATGCAAAAATGTTATGGCGTAAACGGGAGTCGTCTTATTCTAGCTGAGGTTTAGATGGTGTGAAAACGCATAATCATTAAAGGTGGGGAAAGTAAAGCGCCATGGAAAAGCTAGGCTTTAAAAGCCTGGGTTTTCTTCCCCACCCATTAGATTAACATACAGCCCTAATTGCCCTAATTGGTCACAAGCAATTTGAGCTGCAGCTACAGCTGAGTGATCACCGCTGCTCAGTAGTGACAGGTTTTAAGCTGAAGAGTGTGGACACTTTTGGTGAATTTTTGCAGTTAAAAAATTTCAATATCTTTGTTGCTTGTAGGAATATTAAAAAAATTCCAAGTGATTTCATCCGGTTTTTGTATTACCTTTCAGATGATATAAGTATTATAATTTTATGATCAGTTTGAAAATTTTTCTGATATACCTACCCTAGGTATGTATGTTTCATATACAGTAGTTGCTTATCTGCCGGTACTGTTCCTTTCTCTAGGCTGCCACAGGGCCTATCTCCTGCCTTGCTAACGGGTTTTTCCAAAGTTTTGTTTGAAAGATTTAATATTTATGTGGGGTAGTCATGAATAAAGTATGCCCCAACCAGATGTTATGATGCAATGAATTACATATGAAGTAAGGTCAATGTGAATAAGGCTTTGTTCCAGTGTATGAGAAGGAACGAATTTATACGCAGCTTTAGATACGCCTATCCTACTGGCTTAGTTGGAACCTGAATTTGGAGAACAAGGGTGCACATGTTGCCGACTTAGTTTTGTAGGCGAGATGAAACGTTCAGCTGTTTGCATCGTAAGTGTGTAATAGTATCTTTGTTCTTCAATTCAGAATATGATGACGTGACGTGGCATTTGGCTAAAGAAAAGTGTCTATCTAGTTACACGTAACTATCTTAAACAGGAAATGAATAGTTTTCAAGGGGGGAAGAGGAATTCTTCTCAGATTGAGAGATAGAGCTTTGAAAATGTAATTGGCAATATTATGATATTTTCAGATACATTCTACAAGAAGGCTGGGTAGATATCGTATCGCCTTGGGAATCGCCTTTGTGCTCCTGTTCCAATTCGGCATATTAAGAGAAGTCCTAGAACTAAGAAAGGCACAAAGGCGGCAGGACAACATGGTGTTTTTACCCCAGGAGATTCTATATAAAGTAGAGCGCCTGCTTCAGGGAGTCAAGTTAACAGTCCAAAACAACCCCAAATCTGCCAGAGTCAGTAAAACTAATGGAAGTTATCTAGGCGAAGAAAAGAGATCTTCCTATGAATTAGAAAAATTCAAAAGCATGTTGAAGGCGTGGCCCGTCAACAAACCTAAAGCAGTCATCTACATCTTAGTCAAATCTAATCGATTTTCAATCACCCTCAAGGATGGACTTGGCCGAATAGATAGATATTTCAACAATATGTACCACTATCCAGTGGTGTTGTTCCACGAGACAGGCCTCAGCGATACCAACATGACGTCTATTCGCTCATGGACAAGATCAGACGTGTTTTTTCAGTTCGTAAAATTCTCGGTTCCTAAATGGATAAACGAGACAAAAATGAGGAGCGACGTGGGTAAAGCAAACGATAAGCGTATTGGCTACAGACATATGTGTAGGTTTCAATCTATAAGCCTGCAGGTGACGCCCATAATGCGCCTGGTCGACTATTACTGGAGGTTGGATGATGACTCACGTTTGATTGGCCAGGTTCCATTCGATCTTTTCAAGTTCATGGCGAAAGAGAACCTTACTTATGGATATGTACACATGAATCATGAGCATCCTGATTACGTTGTTGGTCTTTATCCGCGCGTCAATGCCTATCTCACCAACAAGCAGATTCAACCAACATTCTTCAGAAAACTACGCAGGAATAAATATTTCCTTAACAATTTTGAAATATCTAGTTTGCGATTCTGGAGAAGCAAAAACGTCTCTGACTTGCTCAATGCCTTGGACCGGGCAGGTGGTTTTTATTACCATAGATGGGGAGATGCAGTAGTGAAGACACTAGCGGTATCTATTTTTGCACCTCTTGAAAGTGTGTATCAATTTACTGAGGTTCCTTATGTCCATAAGTTTGTGAACACTACCAGTAAAGGGTTCATACGTAATCAGAGAACTAACCTGTCACAAGAGTTAATAAACTGATAAATGTTTTTTCCAAAATCAAAGACCGACGTGATATTTGTAGAAAGTAATCTAGGTAACCAAAGGATTCTGAAAATAGACCTTAAACTGCTACATAACATTGCATGTGTATTCTGCGGTATATTTAAAAGGGCCATTACTCAGTTTTGATTAAAAAATGCAAAAAAAATGCAATTAACAGATTATCATTATGCTACCTTGTTCCAGAAAAGACTTCTGTACTTTTCAAGACTATATTTCTTTTTATTATGGTATCAGCCGCTTGGACGGGTTACATGCATTGGTTTGATGTCCCCTTTGTAAGGCAGTATTTGAGTGTATATCTTGTAAGGATGTAAAAGCCTGTGGAGTACAAACGGGGGCCATCTTCAAAGTCGATGGAGGCATTTAACCGTTCTTTTTGAAGCTAGAACAAAATGTATCACTGTTTAAGATGATTTATATAATGTTTTATATAGAATGGTTTCCATAGCACTTCTGCAGTTGTGGTTTTTCAGCTTGTTTAATGGTGATCATCTACAATTTAAGTTACGATTCTTAATCAAAACGAATCCAGGTGTTAAGGAATTGATAAATAAAGAGGAATGGTTTGTTTTCAGTAATTCAAACTAATTTGTGCCATATTATGTATTTACGTCTATTTATGGCAAATATAATTAAAACTATATCTTATCATATAGTTATCGTGGAAAAAGACAATTTAACAGTACCTGTACGGCGGTAAAGAAAGTGATAAAATAAAGGATGGGAAGGCAGCTGGACCAGATGAACTGCCAAAGGAAGCATGTAAAGCCTTGATGAGGATTATATTGATATAATATCCAATTTGTGCAACACCATCTACAATGGTGGTGTAATCCCAGCCAAACTTGAGCACTCAATATTTGTAATTCTTCCGGAGACACTTAAAGTACAGTATTGTACTGAATTTAGAACAATAAGTCTAATGAGTCATATTACAAAAGTTATTATTGAAAGTAAAACAGCAGAGAATAGCAGACAAAATTGACCAAGAAGTAAGCCAATCACAGAATGGTTTTCGACCATGAACAAGAGGAGGTTTATTCAATCTAAGAACCATCTGTAAAAGGGTATCTGAAAAAGATATTTAAATTTACTTTATTGAGTATAATAAAGCGTTTGATCGAGTTAAGCATTCAAAGATAATAGAATGGTTATCTGACATGTGCATACAGGGGGTAGATAATAAAGACCTTCAAACCATAATCATCTTTTTGTGAACAGACCGCAACAATAAGACCTGTGTATGGAGTAGCAACTGAATTCAATGTAAAGAAAGGTGCAGGGTTGTGTTCTATGACCAAATTAATTCACTTGTATACTGAAGAAATTCAGAGAAGCCAAAGATATGAAAAGTGTGATTATAGGAGGAATCAATATAAATAATCTGATTTAAGCAGATAATACAGTTTTTTTAAAGAAACTAATTCAGACTTACAAGAGTAAGTAACATGGGTCAATGAAAAAGAGAAAGAAAAGATAATTTGCAGCGGTTGCTGTGGGAAGGAATGTTAAAGGAGAAACGTGAGAAAGTAAGACCAAGGACGTGGATGGACAACATAAAAGAATGGACCAATCAAAAATACTGTGAAAGTATACGAACGGTAAAAGATCGAGAGGAAAAAGCAAGCAATGACAGTCAAGCTTTCAACTGGACAGACTTATAGCCCTTGAAGGGGCATGCCGCGAGTCGCGGCCTACAGGAAATAATTGCAGTACGCGGTAGACACACATGCTAATCAGGCGATTGAATGGAAAATGTGTAAATATCACAAGGACTTGTAAGTCAAAACTGTCTTTTTTTAATTTCGTGACCAGATGAGAAGGAAATAACAGCACGACATGTGTCAATTTTGAAGCCTCTGACTTCCTCAATAGATTTGACTTAATTGACGCTAAATCTAAGTAAGCGTGTCTATTTTGCAGAGATGTTTGTGTGGCTGGGTCGAGGGGGGGCAGTATCAATGTCCATCACTGAAAAAAAAATTGTTGAAGTATATCTGATTCTAACAGACATCCTTTCTAAACATAGAAAAGTCTAACATGTCATTCGATAATAATGAGTTGTATAGAATAACGCTAAAAATAATGTACGTTTGTGACCACAATTTGTGTCCACCACCTATTACAAACACAATACTGGAACAAAGTGAGCAATTGCCTCATCCTCAGAACATTGCTTTTCTGCAACAAATCCCTCACTATACGAGAACCGTGAGTAAACATCATGAAGCCTTTACAGTAACCCCTCCCCCCCAAGTCCCTTCTCCAAGTGGAGTGAGATATCAGTTGAAACTGTCACGGTCAGTGATCCCAAAGGCTTCCGAACTTTGTCAATCATCACTGGAATCAACTGGTTTTGCTGACGATTCAAAATTTTTCTTGAACTCCATCTATGGTAAAATTAGAGCTAGAATTCATGTCGCAGAATGTCTCTTGGAGGAGACTGTGCACCAATTTACTGCAATGTTGAGATTGTTCTTTTAAGTATTAATTAAAATTCGTATTTTAAAAGGAACATAAAAATCGAAAGACTAATTCATTAAAATGTTTCGTTTTGACCACTGGTACTTGAAATCAACTTAGGTAAGATTTTAAATATTAATAACTAACTTATTTAATTAAAACTTGCAATTTAAAAAAAGACAGTAATTTATGTCATATTTGTTAAATGCTATATTGTTTAATGCAGAAAAGTTATGCTTTTATGTAAGGCAGAATAATAACTGAATTGCCCTCACGTCTGTTGATAAATCTCAGGGTTGAAAATCACACGGCATGTGAAAATATCACACGCCGTTATAATTTATTTAGTAATATGTCGAAGCCATATCATTACGTAAGTTATAACGGCGGTGCCATAAAAAGACGCCACGTTAAGCTGATGGTATATGCTGATGGTATATGCACGTAAATTGCAACAGTTTATCACCTGAACGTTAGTGGACCCGTGTTTGTTTACCCTGTTCCCAAATTCATGTCTTTCAACTGAGCACCAATATAGATAATTATTGATAATAACAAATGCCCATCTTATATATACATGTACAGTATGTAATAAATTGAAGTCTTGTCTTCACATTTTATATTATGTCATATTACATGGAATAACATACATAGTCCCAGGTCCCACTAAGGGCCCGCCATTTTAATACCTGTCGGAGGAAATTCCTGAAACTGGTATCGCACTCCATTCGAAACAGGTGACTTCAAAGATAGCTAGAGGCACCATCGTGACAACACGCTCACAAGTCTCGTCTGGTGAGTGATATGTTGCAGAAACGCAATGTTCTGAGGATGGAAATACCTTTGAGCCTTGAAACTGACCTTGTTGAACACCTGCGTCATATATTACAGTTTGCAATGCAGAGGCTATTCAACCCCTTACATTCTCTACCAATGCTGCCTGACCTTTCCGGACTTCTGCACAAATGGGACAATTTTCCACAAACTATTCTTGCCCTTGTGAAGGAATGTCGCGCCGCCTACAGGATATAATTGCAGTACGCTGTAGACACAAACGCTATTAGACACGTTTCCCTTAACGAGCACATCCTGTTGCTAATTGTGTGTACATTTGGTGACATTTGTTGGTGTATGTTTGATTTTATGGATTTTTTATCTCTGTGGAAATCACTGTGGAACATGAGATTTCTGAGCTATGAGGGGGGTTTAAGACTTCGACTGCATCTGGAATATAAAAAAAAACACTGTTCGAAATGCTTTAGCAATGTGAGGTGATCATTTGTAAACAAAAGCACATGCGATTGGAGGTTGAACAACCTTTTTGACCAAGAGTGTATATATAATTTTTTTTTTAAAATTTTATTCCAGGCGCATTGCTGTGTACCTACATTAGATACATAATTAATCTTTTCTACTCATAATGGTATTTTACAACAGAATATTGCATCTGCGATTTCAAAAGGTTCAAAATAAGGCACATTTTATCGTTTGCCGGTTCTTTAATGTTTTATAATAAATGCATGCTCCACTTTCAAATAATATCTGGATCTTTTTTGCAATCACAAATCCATCTGGTTATCATTTATAAATTTGGTACAATATCGGCAATTTATTGGGAAAACATATATCATGATTAAAGAAATATGATTAAACATGAATAGCAGTGTCCATCCAAAGGTAATGTTGCGCCATTCAGAATTTAATCACAGAGTTCGTATCTCGGGTAGCTTCTGCGAAACTGGATGACGTCACCTATTCCACTAGGTACTGGCCCAGCCAGTATTCTGCAGTTTGTTGGTGAATCTCTGGCCGAAATAAACCCATCCCTAGGCACAAACTCGAGGCGAGGCACCTCATCTCAGTTTACTGCACATAAATATCAAGACGACAACCACTTTCTAGGCGAGAAACCTATGAAGCTATGGTCCTCATCCATTGATCCATCTTGTGCACTGCATTGGGAGCGCTCTCCAAACACTGCACGCCAGGTGCCCGGCTCTGAATTGTGTGTGTTTGATGAAATGAATTTAAATACAACACTTTTGCTGAATCATTTCGATCATCACATGCAATCCACTTGTGAATGATTGTAACTTTTGTATGTCGAGAAGGCTTAATTATAGTGTTGAATTACGTACCACCAGTTAAGTGATAGGCCCTACATGTACCATTAGCATTTCTCAGGGGATTTTGTCTACTTTTGTAACGTGCAACTGAAATTGACATTGTTTATTTATGAAACTAGAAAAGATTCAGGACAACACCAAAATCAGTGAAAGGGAACAGCCCTCAGCCCAACAGAAATCACTATCATCATTAATGGGGTTATCTACAATGTGACAGAGATTCCGGGTGAGACGAACAGGTAAACAGGAGGGCGTTTACAAGTTCATCTGATGCAACTGAAGTTAATTAAGGCTTTGGAAAAACAAGCGGGTTGTTAACAACTCGCTCTTCAGTATTTGAAGGTGAAAAAGCTAATAAAAAAGCAGGATGGTTGAAGAAGAAAACGT